CAACCCACAACAGACTCGTTAATCTGGCTGTCCTCACAGTGACAAGGACAGGGTTTCCCTTCCAGTGCTGCAGCAATCTGCTTGTCCAGGGTATAAACCACTGAAGTTTATTCTCATGATGTGAGTCCAGAGGGAAAATCAGACCAACTGTATACCAGCACAGGGAACTTTTATTTAGAAACCGATACTGGGCCGCAGAGGTAAAAAGGGACAGATGTTTCAAGGAAACTTTCTCATGTTAAAGGGGAAAATTATTTAAAACAAAAAATATATTCATGAGGAAAGGGAATGTGGTAGGGCTAACACATCCCCATGCCCAGAGGAGCTGTGGCTGTGCCCTCTAGTGCCCGCGTCCTGCAATACTGAACTGCAATTTCTGTAAACCCGGGGCTTCTGCACCTGCGACCTCCACCCGCGAGCTGTTCCCTGCAGCGCCCAGTGCGGACCAGCTCCCTTGCTGGGACACTGCAAAGGTTACACAGGTCCGGACGTTTGTAAAAAACATATTTACTCCCAAGGCAGAGTTATTCTCAAGCAAGAGCACTGCTAGAATAACTCTTATCAACTTCCCCTCTACAGACAAAACTTTAGGGCAGAATTTCCCCCTTTCCTTCTAAGTTTCCTACCTTTGGAGGATGCCTTTTATATATTTCATACTAAGAATGCCTTGGAATCCGGTATTAACACCCTTGTGGGGTTTTTAATTAAAGAAACCAAATGAACCACCGAACAAAACGGGTATTGCTTCTGTAATTAAAAACAACCAGCTCTCAAATTAGCATCTATGTAGGATGGGTCATCTTTTATACATCAGTTTAAAGGACTGAAACCTATATTCAAAGAGTGTATTTTTAAGTGTGTATTTTTGGTCCTGTCAAATAAGGAGCACAGGCAAGATACTAATCACTCGTACAGCTACTGTTTGCAGTCACAGCTTTGTAAGCGACTTCTAATGACAGCATGATTTGCAGAATTTTTATTACCTACCAAAAAATTAGGACTATTTTTACCACTGATTATTTTCATTTACCTGGTAAAAATACTTTATTACTTGACTGTAGTTTGCATCTAGGGGTATTAAACCACTTGTAGCTTAATCTAATAATTCTATTCCCACTGATTAGGGAAAGTGAAATTACTGATGGGCGATAAATCAGTGGAAGCCTGCAAGCAATTTCTGTGATGCTCAGATATTCCTGCGCTAACCCTTCAGCCTTTCTCCCTTTCACTTGGCACTGATTTGTGAACAGGTACGTGAGACGGCAGAATTGCAGAGCAACGCCAAACTAGTTAGAATTTCTCCTGATACTGTTAAGTTTAACCTGATCAGTAAAACGTTGTCCTTTAACATTTTCTTCCTCAATCCAGTTTGCCTGACACCAAGTTGATTTTTTTGGATGCAAGACATTAAAATTGTTATTTCCCAGGAAAACGAGCGCAGTTTATCCCAGCCCCCTCTCCTGTACATGTCTCATTCGGGAGTACCAACAGGCAAGCAAAGGCAGATTACACAAATAAGTAAAGCTGAGTGACTGGACTCTGCCTAGGGACAAATTTTTAAAAGTAGGCAAAGAGAAGAGCAAATCCAAAAAGATGACTCTAAACTGACAGCTTTAGTGGCATTGGCTTCTTTGCTTTTCAGCTGATTTTAATTCTTCCTCTTCATGCTTCATGTCCCCTTGTTTCCCGTGCGCTCCCCTGCTCGTGCTGTTGCTCTCTCCAGCTGCTCCCTGACTACTGTAACTTCCAGCATTTTTCTGTTGGAGCAGATTCTTCCATAATCACATACTTCTTAGATATTTTATTATTGCGTCCTCCTCCTCTATTACTTTTTACCTCCTTCTTGTCAGCAAAAGTTCTCTTTGTGGTCCTGGTGAGCAGAATCCCAAATGTTTTAGCACCCACACCCAGTCAAATCCACTTCTGAAACAAAAATACCCCTTTGCAATTTTAAGAGTGTGGTATCTTCAACCAGAGCAGAAGGATCTCATGCAGTCTATTCAGCTTTGCATGCCAACAGGATATGATCCATTAAAAACTCATTTTGTGAATGAAAGCCCAGCAACAAAGAAAATCCAATCCCATTCCCTTACCCCATCATCAGAATTACGTGCCAGCCCGCTATGCTGCCTCCCATCCATCCTGCTCTTACCCCTCCCTTCTCTTTAGCCCCTTCTCTCTCGCCCCCTGCTGTGACAGCAAGTTTTCATTACATGTGTTTTGTCTGCCATTTCAGCAATTTATTAATTCCCTAGAATTTGCCTTATTTGAGAGTGTAATCCTTTCCTCTATACCTTGGGAGTCAATGGAGATGCTTAAACTAAGCAGGACTCAGCCTTTAATAAACCAAACACCTTTCCCTGCAAGGCTTAAGCAATTACTGAGTTAGTGTAAAGATTCACCAAGTATATTTCTATTTTTCATTAAGAAGTTGCTTTAGTTTAAACTGTATTTCCAAAATGTATTTCGCTCCACCGAGACAAGAGAAGGTGTTACAGTCTCATAAATACTGCACGCTCAGACATCCCTTTGATTTCTCACAGGGAGCTGGTGTGCAGTAATTGCTCCGCTAAAGCCCTGTATATTGTTCGGATATCAGCTAGGTGAATTCTTCAGACCCAGCCCAGTTTTCTCAGGTGGCTTTTCATTCGCAGCTTAAACTCGATAAAATAATACGGTAACTAGTCAGTAGTTGCTTCTCATTCATTTGTGTGATGTTATCACGAGATGGAGGAGGTTGTGCTACTGATGAGAAGAAAAGTCCTCCAATTCCTGGGGGCTCAGGGAGGCTGGGGAGCAGGGAAGGAGGGGCCGGCTGATCCCCCTCCTGGGCAGTGGTGGGAAGCTGGGCCTGGCAGAGCACGTAGGCTGGACCACAGACCTGCTGCCTCCAGTACACGGAGGTCACTGGGAGTCATGTATCTGCGCTGGCCGGGGCAGGCTCTGAGACAGGATCTCACCCTCCCGCCCCAACAGAGGTCATTCTCTTTGACATGCTATTTTAGAAAGAGATTTTTCCTTGTCTGTCCCCACCTCTCTGTGGCCCTGGGAACTGGGATATTCCCAGCACCACAGTGGGAGAGGAGCCTGTTCCTGGCATCAGGGAAGCAGTCGAGTGTTCCTGGCAGATAAACCAGGAGCAGGGGAAGAGGCTTCTTTCCTTCTTTCTTTTCTTCTTAATCCGGTTATTATCTGATCTGTATCCTTTAAATAAATATATATATGCCCTTGCTTCTTCCAACTCTGGAGCTGGCTTGTGATAGCTCTTTAGTTCCACCCACCCGTGTTTAGACAGTCGCTGGCCTAGCAAACTGTACACCTCTGAGGGCAGCTCCCAGGGCTCTGGTTAAAAACCCCATCTGACCTAAATCTCGCTCATTATAAACAACCATAAACGTTGGGTTTGCGTTTTTTTTCCAAACAACAGCAGTTACAGGAATATGTAATTTTGCTTTTGCCATTTATAACTAAACCCCCCCTAGGGCGTGTAATATAAATGACACTGAAAAGGAAAAAAAATGTGGTTTTGATTTCCCTTTTATTTTTATATGGGTCATCTCTGAGGTTTTGCATTTATTGTTATTATTGTTAGCATATATTTCTTCCCTTCCCTCGGCCTTTGTTTCCAGGTTTAGACTCGGTGAACAGCATATTGCTTTAAAAAATACTGTTAATAGCTGCTTCTTCTTGGCCTGAGACCTCAAAGTATAGGCAGATATGTAAAAATTACAGTTTATAATATTATTTTGACGTAAAAGGAATCTGTGCTCTTAATATAAGCAATTTAAAAGTGCTCAATAAATGCTAAGTGCTTACCAGTATTAAATGAGAACTCGGTTATCCGGGTGCCGTACGCAGCTATTGTAGCTTTGGGGAACCTTGCTGTGACAGTCTTTGGACGTGTGATACACCACCGAGTAGGGCTCGAATGACACAGTTGCTACACAGATAATCTGTGGCGGTCAGGGCACGGTTCGGTGATGTGTGGATCGGTTATGGGCGGTATTCACAACCTGCCTTTGCCCCGGGGGGGTGCAGAGCTCAGTGCCCCCCGGAACGCGCAGCCCAGCGCCCCCGGGGAGCGGCCTCGGCACCTCGGCACGCAAAGGCTGGCCGGGGGGCTCGGCTCCGCGGGGGAGGGAGGCCCCGCCGCCAGCCCGCCCTCCCCGCTCTGCCCTCCGCCCCAAGAGCCGTCCACGCTCCCGCGGGGCCACTCGTGGCC